AAAAAAAAAAAAAAAAAAAAAAAAAAAATGTTTCCATAATTTCTAATTTTGTATCTTCTTCAGTTATTTCCATGTTTCTCCAGTTAATTTTTCACTAAGTTTTCAATGTAACATTAACAGATAACATAACCAAAAACTGATACAGTAGGCACAGTAGTACTTAATTAGTAATTAATCCTAATAAGAACTAAATGATCAACTTAGCAAAAATTATTCCTTATAGGCATGGTATCAAAAAGATAGGAACTATTTTAGAAATTTAAAAATAAAATTAGTATTCTTCTGTTAAATATGAGGTATACATTTACATAAAATAAAACATACCCACATTTTAGTGTACAATTTAAGGGGTTTTGAAAAACAAACATACCCATAAAATCACCACCACAATCAAGATTTAGAACACTGCTATCACCCCAAAACAATGCTTCATGTCCCTTTGAAGCCAACCTTTCCACCCCTGGACCCAGGTAAACTCTGACCGGCTTTCTGTCATTAAAGGTTAGTTTTGCCTTTTTGAAAATGTTATGCAAATGTAATCACATAATAGGTACTCTTTTGTGTCTGACTTCTTTCATTCAGCATAGTGTCTATGAGATTCATCCTTATTACTGCATGTATCAGTAAGTAGTTCATTCCTTTTTATTGCTGAAGAATATTCCATTGTATGACCAGAAATGGTGGTTAATTTTATGTCAATTTAACTAGGCCATGGAGTTCCCAGATAATTAATTAAACATTATTCTCAGCCAGGCACAGTAGCTCACGCCTGTAATCCTAGCACTTTGGGAGGCCAAGGTAAGAGGATTGCTCGAGGTCAGGAATTCGAGACTAGTCTGAGCAAAAGCGAGACCCCCATCTCTATAAAAACCTAGAAAAATCAGCTGACTGTGGGTGTGTGCACCTGTAATCCCAGCTACTTGGGAGGCTGAGGCAGGAGGATCACTGGAGCCCAAAAGTTTGAGGTTGCAATGATCACGCCACTGCACTACAGTGGGGGAGACAGAGCAAGAAACCTATCTAAAAACAAAACAAAAAATACCATAAACCAACATCACACCACCATCTTAGCAAAGAAGGCTTTCTGCTGGGAGATAAGCTTGGAACTCAGAGCAGTCATCGCACATTTTTCCAGCAGCTTCCTCTGTTCCACTTTATCTGCCTTCTTCACAGTCACAGCGATTTCTTTGATCTTGTTAACTGCCAACTGGGTGCTGTGCGGAAAGCTCAAATGATGATCTAGGGATGCAAACCTTCCTCACATATGGTTTCACCTGCTTCAAAACTCTGCAGCCAGCAAGGTCACTGAGGTGGTGCCATCACTGACCTAGCACTTGGGATTTGCAATGTCCACTAAGTCTTCTTGCAGGATGACAACATCAAGGAGTTTCAGAATTGTGGCCCATCGTCAGAAATTGTTGCTTGCCTCGGCCATCACAATAAGCTTATCCATGCCACGGGACCCAGGGTAGTTCTTACAGCCTCAGCAATCACCTGGCAGGCACTGATGTTACTCACGAGCTGGGGAATTCTTGGGAGCTATCAGTCCCTTCTTTAACAGAATAACTGGTGTGGCCATCATTTGGAAACTTATTCAGGGACCCGCACTACTCTTCCTGGCCTCTTTCTACCGGGCGCCCAGCAACCCACAATCTGATAACCACTTTTGATGGCAGATGTATTTACATTGTTTAATGGTCTCTGTGAAAAATTTCTAGACATCAAATTGCTATATCCAAGATTACCATAGACTAAACTTGTAAGTACTAACAACCAACCTTCTACCAGAAAGCATTTTGCAAAAACATACGCCATTGCAAGGATACCCATTTCAACATTCTGAATAAGTGTATTCATTAGTTGTTGCCAATCTAAAAAAGATTTTAAAGATACATTTATTTGCATTTAATTAATTATTTCTAAAATATTCATACTTTTACTGATAATTTATATTTCTTTTATACATTCTAATATTTAAAAATATTACTCCAAATATCTCTTTTCTTAATCTTTCAGAGATATTTTCTTTTGAAGAAACTTTTAAAATGAAAGACGTTCCATCAGTTTCATTATAGTTTCCTTTTATTACATTAAATTAAGATGAATGTAGTTAATTCATTTTAAAGATATGTATATTAAATTCTTATAAAATTATTTGTCTTTCATCCACTGTCTAAACTTTCTCCTACATACACAAACTTGCACACTCTTACAATGTCTCTGGAAAGAAACACAAAAATCTGATGATACTGGCTGCTTCCAAGTTGGAGAACTGGATGGCTGACAGAGGTACAAAGGAGACATTTCACTATATTCCAATTATACTTTGGAATTGGAGATATGAACTTATTACTGATATTTATGAAATTCATATTCTTTGATTCAATGATTCCACATTTAGGTAAGTATCAGAAGATAATCAAATGCAAAGAAAGGCTTTAAAAACAAAGATATGCATAACAAGGCCAGGCGCAGTGGCTCATACTTGTAATCCTAGCCTCGGGAGGCTGAGGTGGCGGACTGCTCTAGGTCAGGAGTTTGAAACCAGCCTGAGCAAGAGCGAGACCCTGTCTTACTATAAAATAGAAAGAAATTAATTGGCCAACTAAGATATACAGAAAAAATAGCCGCATGGTGGCCCATGCCTATAGTCCCATCTACTTGGGAGGCTGAGGTAGCAGGATTGCTTAAGCCTAGGAGATTGAGGTTGCTGTGAGCTAGGCTGACGCCAGGGCACTCACTCTAGCCTGGGCAACAAAGCAAGATTCTGTCTCAAAAAAAAAAAAAAAGAAGAAGATATGCATAACATTCACAACAGTCAAAATCACAAATATGTCCAAAAATTGAAGAACAAGAAAACTGATGTAAACACTGGTGGAATATTAATTTAAAATTATCTATTTAAAATGATAAACTTACATGAGAACTTATTTATAATCTAAGGGAAAATTTAGGAAAAATTTTCCTGTAGTCCCAGCTACCTGTGAGGCTGAGGCAGGAGGATTGCTTGAATCCAGGAGATTGAGGTTGCTGTGAGCTAGGCTGACGCCACAGCACTCACTCTAGCCTGGGCAACAAAGTGAGACTCTGTTTAAAAAAAAAAAAAAAATAGCCACCCAAGCCCAAGAAACACATCAACATCTAGGTCAAAGCCCTCCTGTGTGCTGCCACACCTAGGTTCAATGGAAAGGGCCGTGACTGTTCCTGTGCTTTACTACAGAGTAAGATTTTATAACTGAAAAACCACTCTGGGAAAAGAAAAAGAAAAAAACAGAGTAAGATTCTGTAGGGCAAAATTCCCATCCCAGTGATTAAGACAGTACTTGACATATAGTAGGTACCTCCTAAATGGCCAATGAAAAAATTAATTTTCTTGATTAAGAAAGATCACATCCTAATCAAGGAAGACTTGAGAAGAGATGTAGAGAGGAGAATGACTGCTAATGTTAGTACCATTTATCAACAAGAATAGGTGTATACAATAAATTCAGGTGATTTTTTATTAATCCAAAGTAAATTAAAACAATGACTCCAACTTGAGTTTTAAATTTAAAGACTGGTCTTTAAAAATCAAGTCTTTAGAGAGGTTAACCGTCTACAGCAGGGTGTAGCACTGAAAATTATGGTCAATGCCTTAGGCTCTAGAGTTCATAGCTTCTCAACAATCAATACCAGTTCAACTAGTTCCAGAGTAACTTCAATGGCACTAGCAGAGTACCCCAAACCATGGCCCCTAGGTATCGTTAAATTGCAAAGGTTCTACAGACCTTGCTGCACTAGCGTTAGTTAGGTATTTTCAGAACTTGATCAGGTCCTGGCTTAAAGGCTGCATTTCCTGTTATCCACAAAATCAACAAGCAGAAGAGATAAATTATACGTATTCATTTGTTCAGAAAGGGAAATATACTTTCCATTTTCAAGTATAACAATGATAACAGGACAAAAAAAAAAATTCCCAAGGACCACAATCCAGAGGTAAACACTTTAATAAGTATTTATTTCTAGAAATCTATCTATACTTACACATACATACAATTTTACATAAATGAAGTCTTGTTAAGCATGCAATTAATTATTGTTGAGAAAAATAAAAAAGGACATGTTTAAGAATCTATTTCCATGACAATAAGTAAAAACCTATAAGACATCACCATTTTTAATAGTTGTACATTATCCTATTGAATGGATACACAATTTAATGCCATACTGATAACCACTTTTTTTTTTAATTCGAAGTCTTAAGTTTTATTTAAATAACATCCAGTGAGAATAGAATGGGCCAATTAATATCCTTTCCTTGTAACACCAATTAACCAAGCCAGGGAGACTAAGTGCACCCTACAGCCAGCCAGTCACGTGATGAGTGGGATGCCTCTCAAAGGGGACGGCCACGACCTCGGCCCCGGCCAGTTGCTGGGGGAGCATCCACAGTCGAGCCGGGATTCTTAATGGTTTCATCTACGGACACGATAAGGCACGCCGCCTCTGAGGCTGCTGTCAGGGCATTGATCCGCACCATAGCTGGCTCCCACACGAAGGCCTGAAAGTTGTCAGTAATGTCCTCGTTGTTGATGTCCACCCCATACCATGTGCCCCCCTGGGCATGCCGAGCCCGCAGCTTGTTGAGGATGTTTGTGGCATCAAAGCCAGCATTATCACACAGCTGGCGTGGGATAATCTCCAAGGCCTTGGCATATGCCCCAATCAACAGCTGCTGCTTTCCAGGAATAGTCCTTGAGTAATCCCGCAGGTACTTGGAGAGCTCCATCTCAATGGCCCCGCCACCAGCCACCACTGAATCATTCTTGATGGCCCTCCTGACGATCATGATGGCATCATGCAGGGACCGCTCCGTTTCCTCCATAAACTGCTCAGCACCACCACGGAGGATGAAGGTGCATGTCTTGGCCTTGGGGCAGCCGGTGAAAAAATTGTACCTTTCGCCGCCAATCTGGGTCTCTTCAAACACCTGACAGTGACCCAGCACATTTTTTGACAGAGCATTCACACTGGTCTGGATTGAGCCTCCACAGGCCATCATTGTCCTCTTCAGATCCTCCTCAGGTACTCGGCCAGCACAGAACATGTCCCTATCAGCAAAGTACTGGGTGGCCACATCTCCAATGGAGAGTTTGGACAAGACGACTTTGGCTCCAAAATGATGGATCCTCTCTAACTTGTCATAGAGAATGTTCCACTCAGCATCAACAATTGCCTGATAATCCTCAACTGTGTGGACTCTGATCTCGGCATTGTCTTTCTCAGCTTTCAACTCCAGCTCAACATATAAAAGGGCAATCATGGGATTATCATACTTTTTGGGTTGCATTTCAAACCCAGCATAAGAGAAAGTCTTCTTGAATGCAACACCAGCTACCAGCTGAGAATCCTCTAGGGCACCACCCTATACCTTCTTGATTCCAATCATTTTAAGCTGCAGCAAATCATCGAGCATCATCACCACATCAACCACCATCTTAGCAAAGAAGGCTTTCTGCTGGGAGATAAGCTTGGAACTCAGAGCAGTCATCGCACATTTTTCCAGCAGCTTCCTCTGTTCCACTTTATCTGCCTTCTTCACAGTCACAGCGATTTCTTTGATCTTGTTAACTGCCAACTGGGTGGCTGTGCGGAAAGCTCAAATGATGATCTAGGGATGCAAACCTTCCTCACATATGGTTTCACCTGCTTCAAAACTCTGCAGCCAGCAAGGTCACTGAGGTGGTGCCATCACTGACCTCAGCATCTTGGGATTTGGCAATGTCCACTAAAGTCTTTGCTGCAGGATGCACAACATCAAGGAGTTTCAGAATTGTGGCCCCATCGTCAGAAATTGTTGCTTTGCCTCGGCCATCCACAATAAGCTTATCCATGCCACGGGGACCCAGGGTAGTTCTTACAGCCTCAGCAATCACCTGGCAGGCACTGATGTTACTCACGAGCTGGGGAATTCCTTGGGAGCTATCAGTCCCTTCTTTTAACAGAATAACTGGTGTGGGCATCATTTTGGAAACTTATTCAGGGACCTGCACTACTCTTCCTGGGCCTCTTTCTACCGGGGCCGCCCAGCAACCCACAATCTGATAACCACTTTTGATGGCAGATGTATTTACATTTGTTTAATGGTCTCTGTGAAAAAATTTCTAGACATCAAATTGCTATATCCAAGATTACACATAGACTAAACTTGTAAGTACTAACAACCAACCTTCTACCAGAAAGCATTTTGCAAAAACATACGCCATTGCAAGGATACCCATTTTCAACATTCTGAATAAGTGTATTTCATTAGTTGTTGCCAATCTAAAAAAGATTTTAAAGATACCATTTTATTTGCATTTCAATTATTTCTAAAATATTCATACTTTTACTGATAATTTATATTTCTTTTATACATTTCTAATATTTTAAAAATATTACTCCAAATATCTCTTAATCTTTCAGAGATATTTTCTTTTGAAGAAACTTTTAAAATGAAAGACGTTCCATCAGTTTCATTATAGTTTCCTTTTATTACATTAAATTAAGATGAATGTAGTTAATTTCATTTTAAAGAGTATGTATAATTAAATTCTTATAAAATTATTTGTCTTTCATCCACTGTCTAAACTTTCTCCTACATACACAAACTTGCACACTCTTACAATGTCTCTGGAAAGAAACACAAAAATCTGATGATACTGGCTGCTTCCAAGTTGGAGAACTGGATGGCTGACAGAGGTACAAAGGAGACATTTCACTATATTCCCAATTATACCTTTGGAATTGGAGATATGAACTTATTACTGATATTTATGAAATTCATATTCTTTGATTCAATGATTCCACATTTAGGTAAGTATTCAGAAGAATAATCAAATGCAAAGAAAGGCTTTAAAAACAAAGATATGCATAACAAGGCCAGGCGCAGTGGCTCATACTTGTAATCCTAGCACTCTGGGAGGCTGAGGTGGGCGGACTGCTCTAGGTCAGGAGTTTGAAACCAGCCTGAGCAAGAGCGAGACCCTGTCTCTACTATAAAAATAGAAAGAAATTAATTGGCCAACTAAGATATACAGAAAAAATTAGCCCGGCATGGTGGCCCGTGCCTATAGTCCCATCTACTTGGGAGGCTGAGGTAGCAGGATTGCTTAAGCCTAGGAGATTGAGGTTGCTGTGAGCTAGGCTGACGCCAGGGCACTCACTCTAGCCTGGGCAACAAAGCAAGATTCTGTCTCAAAAAAAAAAAAAAAAGAAGAAGATATGCATAACATTCACAACAGTCAAAATCACAAATATGTCCAAAAATTGAAGAACAAGAAAAACTGATGTAAAACATGGTGGAATATTAATTTAAAATTATCTATTTAAAATGATAAACTTACATGAGAACTTATTTATAATCTAAGGGAAAATTTAGGAAAAAAATGTTTCCATAATTTCTAATTTTGTATCTTCTTCAGTTTTTCCATGTTTCTCCAGTTAATTTTTCACTAAGTTTTCAATGTAACATTAACAGATAACATAACCAAAAACTGATACAGTAGGCACAGTAGTACTTAATTAGTAATTAATCCTAATAAGAACTAAATGATCAACTTAGCAAAAATTATTCCTTATAGGCATGGTATCAAAAAGATAGGAACTATTTAGAAATTTAAAAATAAAATTAGTATTCTTCTGTTAAATATGAGTGATACATTTACAAAAATAAAACATACCCACATTTTATGTACAATTTAAGGGGTTTTGAAACAACATACCCATAAATCACCACCACAATCAAGATTTAAACACTGCTATCACCCCACAATGCTTCATGTCCCTTGAAGCCAACCTTTCACCCCTGGACCCAGGTAAACTCTGACCGGCTTTCTGTCATTAAAGGTTAGTTTGCCTTTTTGAAAATGTTATGCAATGTAATCACATAATAGGTACTCTGTGTCTGATCTTCTCTATTCAGCATAGTGTTCTATGAGATTCACTCCTTATTACTGCTGTATTCAGTAAGTAGTTCATTCCCTTTATTGCTGAAGAATGATTTCATTTTGGATGACAGAAATGTGGTGTGTTTAATTTTATGTCAATTTAACTAGGCCATGGAGTTTCCCAGATAATTAATTAAACATTATTCTCAGCCAGGCACAGTAGCTCACGCCTGTAATCCTAGGCACTTTGGGAGGCCAAGGTAAGAGGATTGCTCGGAGGTCAGGATTTAATTGGCTAGCCTGAGCAAAAGCGTAGTACCTCCTCATATAATAATATATAGAAAGAAAATCAGTCTGACTGTGGTGTGTGCACCTGTAATCCCAGCTACTTGGGAGGCTGAGGCAGGGAGGATCACTGGAGCCAAAAGTTTGAGGTGCAATGATCACGCCACCGTGCACTTACAAGTGGGAGAGATCAGGGCAGAATAACGACTCTAAACAAACAAAACAAAAAATATCTATTATGTGTTTTTTTTTATGTTTTTGCGAGTGTTGTTTCTGGATGATTATCATTTGAATTGGTAGAATGAATAAAGCAAACTGCTCTCCCCAATGCTAGTGAGTCTCATCAAATCCATTGGAGGCCTGAGTAGAACAAAAAACATGTATATGAGAGAATTCACTCTCTCTCTCTGCCTGTCTTTAAGCTGGGAAATTGGTCTTCTGGCTCTCATCTCAGAGTCAAACTCAGACTGGAACTTACATTATTGGCTCTCCTAGTTCTCAGGCCTTTAGACTTGGACTAGAACTATACCACTGGCTCTCCTGGCTCTCCAATTTGCCCTACTGAAAATCATGGGAATTCTCAGCCTCCAATATTGCATAAGCCAACTCCTTAAAATAAATCTCCATGTATACATATTTTTCTAATGTGTCAATAGCATATATATGTATATACATATATATAAGATATATATATATATTGGATATATATGTATCCTATTGGTTCTTTTCTCTGGAGAACCCAACTTAACACAATATACTACAATTTGGTTATCCAATTGCCTATTGATGGACATCTGGGTTGCACATAGTGTTTGATTGTTAAGAATTATATATTAAAATTCTTGAAAAAGTCTTTTTGTGGATATGTTTTCATTTCTCTTAGGTAAACAGTGGAAATGCTGGGTCATAGGGTAAGTGTATGTCTCGCTGCATAAGAAACTGCCAAAATGTGTTCCCAACTGGTTATACCAGTTTCCATTTCCACTAACAATACATTAGAGATCCTATTGTTCCACCATCCTCATCAACATTTGGTATTGTCAGATTTTTTCATTTCAGTCATCTTGGTAGATGTGTAGTGGTTCACTGTGGCTTTAATTTGCTTTTCCCCAATGAGGATGAGTACTTTTAAGTGATTTTTGGCCATTCATATATTTTCTTTGGTGGGATATCTGATCAAATCCATTGTTCATTTTTTAATTGGGTGGTTTGTCTTATTAAATTGGATTTATACATTCTAAATGCAAGTCCTTTATCAAACATATGCATTAACAGTTTTGCCTAGTCTGAGACTTGTCTTCTCATTTTTTTAATGGTGCCTTTCAAATAGCAATTTTTACTTCTGTTAACAGTCCATGTTTTTGGTATCCTAAGAAATCTTTGCCTACACCAATGTCAAGATTTGTTCCCATGTTTTCTTCCAGAAGCTTTTCAATTTTAGCATTCACATTTAGGTCTTCAGTTCATTTGTACTTCATTTTTGTGGAGTTTGAGGAAAGGGTCAAGGATTATCCCTCCTTCTCCATATGGATAATCCATTTCTTCCAGAACCATTTGTTGAAAATACTATTCTTTCTCACACTGAACTGCCTTAGGAATATTTATTGAAATGTGTAGGTTATTTCTGGATGTTCTATTCTGTTCCATTGACCCACATGTCTGTTCTTAGGCAGTACAGTAAAAGTTCTCCAACTTTAATTAATCTTTTTCAATATTGTTTTAGCTATTTTGGTCTTTGTAGTTTTATATAAACTTTAAGACCAGAATGGGCATCATGACAGCTGACATCCTTCGTTTATTCCTGATCTCATGATAAAAGAAATATGACATTAACTTCAGGCTTATATTATATGCACTTACATTTATTATAATAAAGCAGCCCTTTATTATTATAGAAGGTTCTCTTCTAGCCCTACATTCCTGAGCTTTTAACATGAAGAGATACTGAATTTTTCCAAACACTTATTTTGTATAAACTGAGATAATCATGTGGTTTTCCTTCTTTGCTCTTAGATACTAGAGCAGAATAACAGAAATACAGCCAATTCCCATTATTCGTGGTAGTTTTCTACAAAGTCACTAGGAACACTGAATTAACAAATACTAAACAACCGCTCCTCAGGGAAACAGATTTATATCCCTATAAGCCTGTAATCACATTTTCATCAGCCAAACAATATATAACTTTGTTTAATTGTGTTTGTTTAAAGACACCTTATTTGATACATATTTATTAGTTCATTAACACTGAATTCATGGCCAACACACTGTAATTCGTGCCTGAATGAAGTTACCTAATACACATTAATTTCTCCAGAAAGCACATTATAGCCTTCTTGCACTTAAGAACACTAGACAGCACCTCAACACTATGCTTGGGGGCTGTTTTAAACAACAAATTATTAATAAAAAACAAAAAATGTGGTACTAAACAGACCATGAAAAGGACACTCGTTTATAGTATGAGAGCTGAAAGAGGGCAGAGTGACTTGTTTGACCTCAAATGGGAATGTGTATTGGGCAACTCAAATTTTCTACTGCACATGCATGCCCACAAATGACTGCAAAAGTACCTTAAGTATTGATTTTGGGGTTACAAATACATTTAAGCAAGCAAGCAAATTTGCAAGTACACAATCTGTGAAAAGTAAGAATTTACTATATATTGATTTTTTACTATTGAATCAAATTTGCATACTTGGCAAAAACTTCACCTGGTCATGATGTATCATCATTATATTTAAATTACCAGATTTGACTTGCTAATATTTTGTTAAGTTTTGTGTTTGTGGTCATGAAGGTTACTATTCTGTAGTTTTCTTACAATGTTTTTGTGTGGCTTCAGTACTGGAATACTACTACCTCATAAAATGAGTTAGGGTATTATCTTTTTTTTTTTTGAGGCAGCATCTCATCTGTCAACCCTGGCTAGAGAGTGCAGTGGCATCATCATAGCTCATTGCAACCTCAAA